CTAGTAGGTGCATAGTTGGCAGAGATGTCTCGAAGACGGCGTTTCTACGAAGACAAGCCAAGAAGTTGCGTTGAAGACCCTTGAAGATTTGAAGACTCAAGGGGTCATGCTAGTTGCCAAATGCATGTTTTACTTATGATTTATGTATATTGTGTTTATATATGATTGAATTGTATGATAGATGCATGTTTAGGATTTCAAATGTTGCGATGATTAATTAAGTTCACTGAAATCAACCAACATAGAAACCCTAGGTCCCTATAATATTGAGCCAAACTTGCCATTCCAAGAGCGACACTTACCGAACTAATGCGCATGGTGATAGGCTACGCCAAAGCGAGGCATCACCGCTTCCCTAGGATCGTAAGGTATACTAGGTATACAAGTCGTCTTGGTTAAGCTCAACGTGAAAGGAATGGTGTCCTTCCAACAAGTGTATTATTCTGATAGAGGGTTCAGAATTATCCAGAAGCTAATTCTTCAGTGACATCAAGTTATCAGAATGCCTGGGTGGAGGCCGCTTCTGATCTGTAAAATTAATGAACAATTAATATTGCAGCTTTGTCTTGACTGAACCTTTCGGGTCAAACCCAAATAAACTGCCGATCCGAACCGACGAATCAATCCGAAGGATTTGATGAGTCACTAGAGTATTACAAACACAAACGTCGGATATCGAGCCTAGGGCGTCGAGACCGAGCGTCGCAAAATCAACAAGCAATAAGTTCTAGCAAAGCCATATCATCACATTGGCCTAGCCATGTGGTTGCTAGGCTAGCTCGAGCTAGCATGCTAGGCACTAGCGCTAAGCAAGGCCTAACACTACTAGCAGCACCATCGCAGCAACATGGGTGTGCGTGTGTGTGTGCATCACAAGCACAACACCATGGGTATGCGTGTGTGCGTGCATCGCTAGCACAACACCATCGCAGTACCATGGGTGTGCGTGTGTGCGTGCATCGCTAGCACAGCACCATCGCAGCACCATGCGTGTGCGTGTGTGCGTGCATCACTACCACAGCACCATCGCTGCACCATGCGTGTGCGTGTGTGCGTGCATCGCTAGCACATCACCATCGCAGCACCATGCGTGTGCGTGCGTGCATTGCTAGCACAGCACCATAGCAGCACGATGTGCGTGCTTGCGGCATATGCGTGTGTGTGCCTTCGCATGGCAGCACAAAGCATAGTGCCTAGGCCTCGCCTAGCAGCAGCAACATGCGTGGTTCGCTAGCAGCACGCATGTGTTGGCTGGGCTCTGCGTGCTAGCTGTGCTGGCTGGCTTGCATGGCTGGCTGCCTAGCCTTGGTGCTAGGCTCCAGCTGGCAGCCTTGGCAGTTAAGGCAGGCTGCCAGCTTGCCCATACCATGAATCCGACTTGGAGTGGTGGGGACCAAGGCTTGAAGCCATCCCTTGGGGAGCAAGGTAATGGTCCTCCCCTTGGTGATGGTCCTCACCTAACCACTCCTCTCCATGTGCCACTTGTTGATTGTTGATTGCATTATCTTTTAATTTATTTTTGATTTAAATAAATTAGTTCGAAATTCAAACTATCACACATTGATCATGAATGGGAGTGCAAGTTGCATTTCCCTATAAATTCCCCATGATTGGGCATTTGGAAATCAACTTGAGTGGACTCAAAAAGGCATCTCTTATTATTGAGAAAACCTTTAAGTTCGTAAAAATCTAGTTTTATCTTTGTTCAAGTCTCGACTAACCCTCGAGACGAAGATCGTTCGGGTCGGGTCGAGGGTACAAGCCATTGGAGGTCGTCACGCTTGTGAGGCTTTAAGATTCGAAGTAAGAGCTCGGCTTACGAGCAAAGCATGCTTCAAGGGTATTACTTCTTTATCCCTTCTCTTAATTATTGTTTAATTATGTTTATGCATGCTTTATTGCTGTAATTATTGGGGCGGGTTTCTCTTCCGCGTAGCGTTGGACGCTACGAAACTTAACACAACGATATCAGTAGGAGTCCTTAGTAGATGTCGTGGCAATGGAGATAAAATGTAAAGGAAGCATTAGATCCGACATTTTATCGAACCAAGAGTAGCTTGGAGCTATTAGAAATTGGATTGCTTACCCTATAAAGTGTTAAGACAAGCCAAAGCATGCTTAATCACTTTTTGATTTTTGGGATCTTGTCATTTTATTCTCGCCTAAAAGGGACTAATGTTAATGCGTGTATAAAATTCTCAATAAGATTGAAAATTTGCATGATCGCTTTAAATTTCAAACTTATTGGTTTTATGAATGGTTTTTCATTTCAAATTCTTTCAATTGTAGAAACATGTTTGCAAATACCTCAAACCACCAGTTTTCATTACGCTCAATTCTCGACAAGGAGATGTTGAGTGGGCCAAATGTTCTTGATTTGCAAAGGAACTTGCGTATTGTTCTCATGCAAGAGCAAAAGGAATATGTCCTTAATGAGGAAATGCCTGACACCTCCAATGAGGAGGTCACTCAGGCTGCCCTTAACCGATGGCAAAGTGCCAATCGGGATGTCAAGTGCATCATGCTGGCCACTATGTCTCCGTACCTTCAAAAGACTTTATTTGAAAAGGAGACAACTTTTGAGATCATTTATGAGCTTCAAAAACATGTTCCAAGAGTAGGCCCGAACTAAGAGTTTCGAAACCCACAGGCAGATCCTTGAGAGAAAGCTCAAGAAAGGAAAGCCAGTCAGCCCGCATGTTCTTAAAATTATTGGATTATTTGAGAACATGGAAAGGCTTGATGTTGGGTATTTAACCGACATGACAGTTGACAACATTCTCCATTCGCTGCACAAAGGCTATGATCAGTTCAAGATGAACTATAATATGCACGACATGGAGAAAACTCTCACCGAGCTTCATGGTTTGTTGAAGCAGGCCGAGCAAACCCTCAAGAATGAGGGGAAGCATGACATGCTCATGGTGAGAAAGGGCAAGCCATTTAAGTGCTCGGGCAAGAAGAGAAGCTTTAAAGGGAAAATGTAGAAGAATTTTCCGCCTAATTCAAGTGCTGCTAAGAGTGGCAAGGACAAGAAGGTAGCCTCTTCTAAATCCGATTTCGAATGTTTCTACTGCAAGAAGAAAGGACATTGGAAACGGGATTGCCTCAAATTCAAGGAAGATAAGTAGAAAGGCACCGTTGCTTCTATATCAGGTATTTTTGTTATGGACTTAAACCTCGTTAGCAAAACATCATGGGTATTAGATACCGGATGTGGCTCACACCTTTGTTCCAATGATCAGGGACTAAGGATAAATAAAAGGCTAGAGAAGGGAGAGGTCGAGCTTCGGGTTGGCAATGGAGCCAGGATGTCTGTCGTATCCGTTAGAACTCTCAGCTTGTCTTTGCCCTCTGGGCTTGTTTTAAAACTTCACAATTGTTATCATGTTCCAAGAGTTACCAAAAACAATATTTCAATTTCGGCGTTGGACGCCAAGGGATTTGAATTTCGAATTAAGAACAATAGTTGTTCGTTTATTTCGATAATGTTTTATATGGTAAGGCATATTCAGAAAATGGTCTTTATGTGCTTTCTCTAGACTAACAAGTTTATAACATTAATGATACCGCCAAAAGAGCTAAGACCATTGAGTCGAATCAAACCTACTTGTGATATTGTCATCTTGGCCACACTAACATCAAACGCATCAAGAAACTTCTTCATAAGGGTATTCTTGACTCATTCGACTTGGATTCGTTTGAAAATTGCGAAGGATGTTTGTTAAGCAAGATGATAAAGTAGCCATTCTCCAAGTTGGGAGAAAGGGCTAGTGACTTGTTAGGTCTAATACATACGGATTCATGTGGACCAATGAGTTCACCTGCAAGGAATGGTTGTCGATATTTCATCACCTTCACGGACGACTATAGTAGATATGGTTATGTCTACCTTATGTAGAACAAATCTGAATCATTTTAAAAATTCAAAGAGTTTAAGAGTGAAGAGGAACATCAACTTGGTAAGAAAATCAAAGCACTTCGATCGGATCGAGGTGGCGAGTATTTGAACCACGAATTCAATGATCACTTGAAAGAAAATGGTATTCTTTCAGAATTGACACCTCCCGGAACTCCACAATGGAATGGAGTGTCCGAACGGAGGAATCGAACCTTGTTAGACATGGTTCGATCAATGATGGGTCTTAGTGAACTTCCTATCTCTTTCTAGGGACACGCACTTCTAATCGCGGCACTAACACTGAACCGTGCTCCGTCAAAAGCTGTCGAAAAGACTCCATATGAATTATAGACGTAGAAACCTCCATGGTTGTCTTTTCTTAAGATTTGGGGTTGCGAAGCATATGTCAAGAGAATATTTTCTGACAAACTTCACCCAAAATCAGACAAGTGTTTCTTTGTGGGCTACCCAAAAGAAACCAAGGGGTATTACTTCTACATGAAATCTGAGAACAAAGTGTTTGTTGCTAGTTATGGTGTCTTTTTGGAGAAGGAACACCTTTCCTAAATGACAAGTGGGAGGAAAATCGAACTCGATGAAGTTCGAGAGGACGAGCAACAAAGTCAACTTGACAAAACTGACAATCAAAGTGCTTTAGAAGCAGCTAATGACATTGGTCAGAGTCAAACCGACAATGTAAATGCTCAACCTATTACCCTGCGTAGGTTACAACAGCCAATATCTAAACTAGACAGATACCTTGGTATTCTCTTAACCGAAGATCAAGACATCCTAGTTATGAATGGTGATGAGCCAGCGACATACAAACAAGCTATGAGGAGTCCCGACTCTATAAAATGGCAAGAGGCCATGAAATCCGAGATGGACTCCATGTCTGAAAATCAAGTTTAAGACTTGGTTTATTTTCCCGAAGGTTACAAACCTATCGATTGCAAATGGATTTTCAAGTTGGTAACAGACAAAGATGGAAATGTATCTATATACAAAGCTAGACTGGTGGCAAAAGGTTACAGGCAAATTCAAGGCGTTGATTATGATGAAACCTTTTTGCCAGTCGCAATACTTAAGTCTGTCCAGATTATCCTGTCAATTGATGCATATTATGATTATGAAATATGGAAAATGGATGTCAAAACCAGCTTCCTTAATGCTAACACAGGGGTTGTTATCAATTTTTCTTTTAGGGTTTGAAATGCTTCCTCACACTCAGGAGACCAAATGAACTTACCTTCCTTTTTCATCAAGTTGGTCATTAGTCTCGCTATTTTCGAAAAGTCCTTTAAGAACCTCCGATAATACCCGGCCAATCCCAGGAAACTCCTCACCTCTGACACATTCTTTGGGGTTGGCCACTCCTGTACAGCTTGGACCTTAGCTGGGTCAACCGAGACTCCTTCCTTAGAGGTTACATGCCCCAAAAAGGCAACTTCCTCTAACCAGAACTCACACTTAGAAAGTTTGGCATATAACTGGTGCTCCCTTAACAACTGTAACACTTTCCTCAAATGGTCTTCATGGTCCTCTTTACTACTCGAGTAAACCAGAATGTCATCAAAAAATACCACTACAAACTTGTCCAGATAGGGTCGGAAGATTCGATGCATCAGATCCATGAACACTGCCGGTGCGTTTGTCAACCCAATTCAAACGGCATTACTGTGAACTCATAATGGCCATAACGGGTCCTGAAAGCAATCTTAGGAATATCTTGCTCTACAATCCTTAACTGGTGATAACCCGACCTCAAATCTATTTTCGAGAATGTACCTGCTCCCTTTAACTGGTCAAACAAGTCATCGATCCGAGGTAGTGGGTATTTGTTCTTCACGGTGACATTATTCAACTCACGGTAATCAATACATAACCTTAAACTCCCATCCTTTTTCTTCACAAACAATACTGGGGCTCCTCAGGGTGAGGAACTGGGTCTAATGTATCCCTTTTCAAGCAAATCCTCCAATTGGGCCTTTAGCTCTTTCATCTCAGCTGGGGCCATCCTGTATGGAGCCTTGGAAATAGGTCCAGTTCCAGGGACTAAGTCAACCGTGAATTCTACATCTCTTTCAGGTGGCATGCATGGTATTTCATCGGGAAATACATCAGGAAATTCTTCCACGACAGGTAATTTTGTATCATTCTTCCCTTCTTCACCCCTTATCTCTTGGAGGCTACACATGAATAACGGCTACCCTTTCTTGAGGCACTTCTGGAGTTGTAACGCCAAAATAATCCTTATTCCTTGACTTTTCCCTTCCTTCCTATAAGTCACTCTGGTCTTTGCTGGGCCATAGAGCGTGACTTTTTGTGCTGCACAATCTATCTGGGCTTTGTACTTTCCCAACCAGTCCATTGCCACGATCACATCAAGATCTTTGAGATCGAATTCAATTAAGTCCGATGGAAACTCTACTTCTGAAATAGTTAGGGGTATATTCCTAAAAAGTCTAGAACACTCCCTAACTTCCCCCGTTGGAATAGCTACATCCAAGGAGACTGACTCTGGACACTCTAATTGGAGAATTTCTATTACTGTCTTAGAAATAAAAGAGTGCGATGCACCCAAATCAAATAAAACTTTCACAGATAAAGAACGTATGAGAAAAGTGCCAATTACCACATTATTGGAAGTCTCAGCTTCACGGCTATTCATTACGAAAATACGGCCCTTAGAAGTATTTCCACCATTGCTGATTCCAGTGTTCTGGGCAGGTCCACTAGTTTGTGGGGGTTTTGGGGGATTCTGTCCATCCTGAACCTTTCCATTCTTCAAATCTGCTTCCTTCTTGAAACACTCGTATTCTTGGTGTCCTAATTTTTGGCAGTATTGACATGTCACTTTATTACCCGCACAATCCTTCCCCGGCTGATGCTTCCCACATCTTTTACAGAAGTAACTTCTCTTAGTTCTATCCTTGTTCTCTCTATTCTCGTCACCCTGGTTCGGGTTTCTCCGAAAATTCCCTTTAAAGTCTCTCTTATCCCCATGGTTCCCATTCCCAAAACTCGCATGGTTCTTGGGCCTCTTATCGCTCCCTTGAGGTTGATCATTGGACTTCTTTTTCTCCCCTTTCATGCTTCCTAGATCTCTTCCCTTGATCCCATACAAATGGGCAGCTCGGCCATACACCTCATCTAGACTCTCAAAGGTTGCCCCACCCAGTTTTCCTTGCAGATTCAAAGTTAACCCCTGTTCGAACCTTTGGGCTTTGATAGCCTCTGTTGGTACTATTTCCGGTGCAAACCTCATTAGTTCTATGCACTTAGAATAGTACTCATTCACAGTCATAGTTCCCATCCTTAAGTTAGTGAACTCCATACATTTCTGTTTCCTCAAATGGTCAGGATAAAACTTTTTTCTCAAAGCTACCTTAAAATCCTCCCAGCCAAATTTAGGGTCTTTCATCAATTCCTCTTTCTTTTGCGTCCACCATAAGTTAGCTTCTTCTTTTAGATAGTAAGCACCATTACTAACTTTCATATCGTCTGGACACTTGATTGCATCAAACAACTTATCGAACTCTCGGATCCAGTTTTCAAGGCTAGCTGGGTCCTCTTTTCCTAAGAAAAAGGGTGGCTTGGCTGCAGCTACTCCCTTAAAGACTTCACAAAAAGTGTCCCCATTTCCTGAACCCTTCCCTTGGCTTGCTACTTGGGTAATGTTTTCATCAAGATGGGTTAGTTTCTTAAGGACCTTGCCCATATTGGAACCAGCTTTCTTATTCTTTAAATTTAAAGACATATTTTTCCTAATATTCACATTTGAGAGAAAGAAAAGAAAAAAATTAAAATTTATTCGTACGCATAAACATAGAAGAAATCAAGAAAATACTTTATTATTATTACTAATTAATAGTCTAAGTACATTTTATTATGCATAAAACTTATTGAGAAAAGTCGTAACATAGATAATATATTTGAACCTTTCTCTTCTACTGGATCGAACTCTGGATCTTCATTGTTAGCCTTCTTGTTACCATTGGGCTCCTTCAAATAGGTTGGTACATAATCACTGTAATTTGGGGTTTGGCCTGACTTTGAGTTTGGGTTTCCTTGAGGGTTAGGGCTGTTGGGTTGTGGAGGAGGTGAAGAGTTGGAACTAGAAGATGATGAAAAGTCATGAATTCTAGGCCTTTTTGGAATTCGGGCTTTGGTTCGAGGTTTAGGGTGCTCACGTGAGATAGGAACCATATACTTTAAGAAATGGGAAGGAGAAGGATAGTTCTTACGTCTTCCAAGTGGTGGGATGGATTCATCATTAGAAGAGTCAAAGTCTTTTTCATACTTTGGGTAAGAGAAAGGGAGTTGGGCGTTTAGGTAGCGAAGTTGGTCAACCTCGGTTAATGTGTGGTGGGGTGTAAGATTAGGTGGCTTCACAAAGTTCCTTTTTGGTTCATAGTTATGCTCCAAGTAGTGTAAGTCATTCTTAAAATGGGTTAAGGTGGCTAACCATCTCCCCTCATGGTGGTGTCTCTCGTTCCAAAGTCCATCATCCTTAACCACATCCCCATCCTTTTCAAGAAAAGGATAGTACTTTTTAATCTTGGGTAAGTGGGCTAATGCCAACAAGACTAGCTAAGGAGGTTGAGTAAAAACTTCAAGGTTGTACTTCTCATAATAGTGTAGAGCTAGCACCGTTATTCCAGTCACAAAATCGCTAACACTGATTGCATCAGTTTTCAAGTAGTGAATGTTAAAATACTTCTTCCTAATATCATCCAACATCTGTTTAGACAACAATAATTCAATAAGTATTCATATAAACATACCAATGTTAACAAACATATAAGTTTAACATACATGGGCCACATATATACCCAAAAGATCATGTCCATGGACTTCTTCTCAAAATTCATATTATACTAACTTATATGCACACATAATTTTGAAACTTAGAAAATTTCAATTAATTTTACTTTGAAATTAATAATGTACTTGACTCATGATATAGGATGGTCGAGCCCGCGTCTCCCAGGTAAGTTACCCACAACGTCGGGGAGAGCCTTGCCTAGACAGAGAGGCGTACCCATTATAGGCCTCATTATGAGAACCCGAGCATCCTTTTCTCAATCATCTTTCCAAAGAAGAAAATAGTTGTTTTTTTTTTTAAAAAAATGCGAAACTCTATCGTATATGCCCAACTTAAGTCTACCCATCCAATTTATTTATTTCCACTTTTAATCTTGTTTTAAGACCCGACAAACTGATACCACTTTGTAACACCCCCAAATCTCCCTCTACGGAATATGTAGAAATATACGTATAAATACCGTAGAGATAAATTTGGGCGTATTACAGTCGCGTGATAACGCAAGGCATATACTTTAAAAATACTTATGCAGCGAAAATTCTTTATTCTTATTAATAAAACTTTAAATAAAACTTGTTCATGATTTGTGACACAAAAACGACTCCAACTTTTCCTAAGCTAGGTGAAATTCCCGTGGACCCCCGTATGCATCAATCAACTTCCACCTGAAACATTCACATGCTTACCATAAATGGTAATCATGGCAAAGCCAAAACAAAAGCACGTATTAGCAAATTATGCTAAGTAGATTATGTGTAAGATAAGTAAAAACATAACTTAAATCGTTTAGATTTAATTCATAAGAATTCCAATGCCATTCTCAAGTAAGAGCTTTTCCAATTCAATCCTTTCAAGACAAATTTAAAGAAAATTCAATCGATTACATTTCAAAACCAATTCCTCACTAAGTGTGCACACCCCCCAAGTGGTTTACTTTATGAACAAAGGCCAAACTTGAGGAAAGACTAGGTCATGCAAAGTCCATAGCCTTCTCTAATCCATTCCCTAACTGGGATTCATAACATATCGATTGATTTTCTTAAAAGCACCTTTTAAAACCGTTACACTTGAATAACAATTAACTTGTAAATCATTTCCAATCCTTTTTAATAATTTCAATAATGATTCAAAGTCTCCTTTATTTTAAATCAAAATTATTAATTTCAATCCAACATAATTTCATAATTTCATACGGAACGTAATATCATAATTTTATACGGAACATAAAGTATAATTTCATACGGAACGTAATAAAATATGATTTAATACGGAACATGATAAATTATAATTTCATAATAAATCATAGTTTTCATACGAAACATAAAATATAGTTTCATACAGAATACAAACAAATATAATTTCATACAAAACATAATAACTTATAATTTCATACGGAACATATTATAATTTCATAGTCAACTTTCGAAGGTATCAAACCACATAACGTACCTTGATCTAAACACGAGCGTATCACACAATACTTCACTTCACTTCACTTAATCACGAACACCCTACACATTATTATAACCTTAATTAATATAAGACTATCAAATAAACACAACAACGTAACCAAACTACCCTATATGTGCATGAATTAATTATAAAGTATCATTACATTTTAATAAAATATTTTTTTGTTTTTATAATTTAAATAATTTTTCTGTTTTTATAACATAATTTATGTAAGAAATAATACTTATGAAAAAGATTAATAATGTAAAACAAGATTAGGAGAAAGGAGGAATTGAAGGATAGTGGTGGAACCAAGGCAAGGGAGGAGCAAGAGTGGTCGGCAGCTGGTGGCGG